ACAATGGCCAAGACCAGAGAGCTGTGTAAGGACATCAGGGATAAAATTGTAGACCTGCACAAGGCTGGGATAGGCAAGCAGCTTGGTGAGAAGGCAACAACTGTTGGCGCAATTATTAGAAAATGGAAGAAGTTCAAGATGACGGTCAATCACCCTCGGTCTGGGGCTCCATGCAAGATCTCACCTCGTGGGGCATCAATGATCATGAGGAAGGTGAGGGATCAGCCCAGAACTACACGGCAGGACCTGGTCAATGACCTGAAGAGAGCTGGGACCACAGTCTCAAAGAAAACCATTAGTAACACACTACGCCGTCATGGATTAAAATCCTGCAGCGCATGCAAGGTCCCCCTGCTCAAGCCAGTGCATGTCCAGGCCCGTCTGAAGTTTGCCAATGACCATCTGGATGATCCAGAGGAGGAATGGGAGAAAGTCAAGTGGTCTGATGAGACAAAAATATAGCTTTTTGGTCTAAACTCCACTCGCCGTGTTTGGAGGAAGAAGAAGGATGAGTACAACCCCAAGAAAACCATCCCAACCGTGAAGCATGGAGGTGGACTTCCAGCATGACAACGACCCGAAACACACAGCTTGGGCAACTAAGGATTGGCTCCGTAAGAAGCATCTCAAGGTCCTGGAGTGGCCTAGCCAGTCTCCAGACCTGAACCCAATAGAAAATCTTTGGAGGGAGCCGAAAGTCCGTATTGCCCAGCGACAGCCCCGAAACCTGAAGGATCTGGAGAAGGTCTGTATGGAGGAGTGGGCCAAAATCCCTGCTGCAGTGTGTGCAAACCTGGTCAAGACCTACAGGAAACGTATGATCTCTGTAATTGCAAACAAAGGTTTCTGTACCAAATTTTAAGTTCTGCTTTTCTGATGTATCAAATACTTATGTCATGCAATAAAATGCAAATGAATTACTTAAAAATCATACAATTCGAATTTCTGGATTTTTGTTTTAGATTCCGTCTCTCACAGTTGAAGTGTACCTATGATAAAAATTACAGACCTCTACATGCTTTGTAAGTAGGAAAACCTGCAAAATCGGCAGTGTATCAAATACTTGTCCTCCCCACTGTAAATTGGCTTTCAAATCTATGGCAAGACTTGAAAATGGCTGTCTAGCAATGATCATCAACTTGACAGAGCTTGAAGAATTTTTAAAAGAGTAATGTGCAAATATTGTACAATCCAAGTGTGCAACGGTCTTAGAGACGTATCCAAAAAGACTCACAGCTGTAATCACTGACAAAGGTGATTCTAACATGTATTGACTCAGTGGTGTGAATACTTATGTCAATGATCTATTCTGTATAATTTTTTTATAAATGTTCTAACATTTATAAAAATATGTTTTCACGTTGTCATTATGTAGTATTGTGTGTTCTTACAACATTATAGGAATGTCCTATGCAATCTAACTTAAACATTGCATGAATGTCATCACAACTGAGCATATTTTGTGTTTTGGGAACCTCTCTCTTGTAATGTACCCACACTGTTCCCACAACCTAATGAAATGTTCTGGGAACCTTTAAAGAACTCAGAAAGGCTGTTCTGTCAACATTCTTGTAACATCAAAGGAATATTTTTAGCACCCTGATACAAACATTATCTGAATGTCAGAAAAACAGTTTTAGTGTTTTGGGAACCTATCTCTTGTCATATCCCCACAGTGTTCCCACAACCTAAAGAAACATTTGGGGAACCTTTAAAGAACAGACTAAATGTGTTCTGAGAACATTCTTGTAACATAAGGTGAATGTTTTCTGTACCCTAAAAGAAACATTGTACTGTAGAACCTATCTTTTGTGATGTCACCACAATGTTCCCACTAGACTGTTCCCACGAACCAGTGAAACATTCTGGGAACCTTTAAGGAACAGATTAATCTAGGAATGTTCTTGCAACATCAGGCAAATGTTTTATACCACGTGTCAAACTCATTCCATGGAGGGCCGAGTGTCTGCAGGTTTTGCCTCCACCCTTTTACTTGATTGATGAATTAAGGTAACTAATTACTCCCTCACCTGGTTTTCTAGGTCTTAATTGAAAGGAAAAACCAAAACTCCACAGACACTCGGCCCTCCATGGAATGAGTTTGACACCCCTGTTTTATACAAACATTCTAGTCAGCACGACTGGACAGTTTTTGTGTTCTGAGAACATTTGCCGCGACCTAACGAATGTTCTGGGAACTTTCACAGAACCCATTTTGGTTTGCTGGGAATGCTCCTCTTTTGGACAAAGATGTTTACACTGAGTGTACAAAACATTAGGAACACCTTCCTAATATTGAGTTGCACCCCCTTTTGCCCTCAAAACAGCCTCAATTCAACGGGGCATTGATTCTACAAGGTGTCGAAAGCGTTCCACAGGGATGCTGGCCCATGTTGACTCCAATACTTCCCACAGTTATGTCAATTTGGCTGGATGTCCTTTGGGTGGTGGACAATTCTTGATACACACGGGAAACTGTTGAGTGTAAAAAACCCAGCAGCGTCGCAGTTCTTGACACATTCAAACCGATGTGACTGGGATGTGCTACCATACCCTGATCAAAGGCACTTAAATATTTTGTCTTGCCCATTCACCCTCTGAATGGGACACATACACAATCCATGTCTCAGTTGTCTTAAGGCTTAAAGATCCTTCTTTAACATGTCTCCTCCACTTCATCAACACTGATTGAAGTGGATTTAACTTGTGACATCAGTAAGGGATCATGGCTTTCACCTGGATTCACCTGGTCAGTGTATGTCATGGAAAGATCAGTTGTTCCTAATGCATTGTACACTCAGTGCATCAGTGGAGGCTCCTCAGAGGAGGAAGGGGAGGACGATCCTCAGTGAAATTTAATAAAAATAAAAATAGTGAAACACTAAAAACTTTATCCTTTTTAGAGAAAACTATACTAAATATATTCATATGTCACCAAATAATTGATTAAAACACACTGTTTTGCAATGAAGGTCTATAGTAACTTCAACAGCACTCTATGGGGCAGCACCATTGTGTAGCTGGAGGACAGCTAGCTTCTGTCCTCCTCTGGGTACATTAACTTAAATACAAAACCTAGGAAGCTCGTAGGCCTCACTCCTTTACATAGACCTACGTGGTAATTATGACCACTTCTGGAGGACGACCTCCAACCAATCAAAGCTTTTGCAGTATGAACTGACATGTTGTCCATCCAATCATAGGACAAGCCTCTGAACACCTCAACTTATGCCTGATACCCTCATTCAATCACTGCTTTGATCCCTTCCCAACACTGTGTAAGTAGCCCTCTCATTCCCATTCCCCATAATATAGTACTATAAATGTCTTTATTAAATGCTTTAGGTTAAAATAATTAGTCTTTGATGATTTTTGAAACCCACTTTGTCGTCTCCATGCGTTCCGCGCCTATACCGTGGGTCTCCCATCCTCCTCAATTTTTCAAGTCACCAGCCTCCACTGCGGTGTATATCTGTATGAAGTAATAATTGTTGTGGACTAGACTGACCCCAGGCATGACCTCGCTCTAGTCTAGCCTCTGGGACACATTGTGGCTCTTTGTCTGAGGGCACATTCATATTGCAGATTTAATTAACGGCCTTGGATTCATATTTTCCTTCGGATGGGGCTGTGGGGTCACATGGGTGTCTTGTGATTATAGGGAGATGGTAGCAGCTATCCAACCGTCTACTAGAAAAAGTTGGATCCAAAAATAAGGGCTGAATATAGCTTGGGCATGCAGATTTCACGATGGTCTGAGAAATACTGTACACTCTCATCTAACAAACTGTCTATAAAGAGAGTGCAAATTATAAATTTGATTCTCTATCAATCTTAACCCGTCTGACACTTGGATATCACAAAACATGATCAGTACTGATCAACACAGAGAGACAGCTGTGTGAGGGAGGTTTTCTTTGCCCCACCCAAACACTGAAAGACAAAACTGTGAAGTGATGTCATTACTACTGCTTATGCAAACCAGCTGTGTGACCTTATGGGCTGCATGGGATACCATGGTGTGTGCATGCGTGCGCATGTGTGTATGTATGCAGTTGAGCTTTAACACATTCCCCCCAGCTAAAACCTTGCCTGTATATCTTCCCTCTAACACAGCAGATGAGACTGAGTGAAGTAAGCAGAGAGGTATCCAATGTAGTTATGGTTGAGAGGGCTACAACTTGTCTTTACACAGGAAATTAGATGAAAACGTCATGATTTATGAAACATTTATTTTATTCTCCAAAATGTATTCCTATCGTGAACTTTAGGATGCTAGTAGAATTAAAACAGTCAATCTGGAATGTTAAAAAATACAGAAAATGAATGAAAAATAGAAATGAAAGTAAGGTAACACTTACGCGCTGAAATGTTTTTTTAAATGGCAATTTCTTCTAGTTAAATAACCAGCAGTATTCACTGTTTTGCTGAATTTATTAAAAATAAACATAATGATGTAATGTTATGCATAATGGAAATTGTGACATACCCCTTAGTTCCTGATTTAAAAGGTCAGCAATATGACTTCATCATACCCAGCGGGGCGACTCCCTGCTTGTAGATATTAGTAAGTCACCCTGCTGTGTATACAGTGTACTTTAAGAATAGATTGGGCTGGGTTGTTAAAAATGCCATTCTGCAAAGAAATGTAGTATTGCCAAGCTTTGAACAACATATATTCGGGCAACTAGGCTAAATACATGTATAAGACACACTAAAAGAGACCCGAACACTACCTTGAAATCTCAGCATTCATATGAAATGAAAATGTCACAAAAAGCAGCAAGTAGTTTCTCCATATGATCACACCTCCTCCCTCTACATTATACAGCATTGGAGGCTGCTGAGGGGAGAACGGCTCATACTAATGGCTGGAATGGAGTAAATGGAATGGCATCAAACACATGGAAACCATGCGTTTGATGTATTTGATACCATTCCACTATTCCGCTCCAGCCATTACCAGGAGCCCATTCTCCCCAATTAAGGTGCCACCAACATTCTGTGTTATACAGTATCTCTGCATGGCAAGCTGGTGAAAATGATTTCTTTGGCTTAGAACAAAGCAAGTGTGAATACACAAGATTAACAAAAACAAAACACAAGACAAAACAGAAACATCATATTATACAACATTGTTCCATAGAATAATGTATGTATTAAGTGTCTAATTATATACTGTTACAAAGGTATTAAAAAGAGAATAATACTGACTTATTTTAAAGGATTGGCACACCTGACCTCTTTATATACACGACACTGTGTCCCAGACCTTATACAAATCAGTCTGGTATGGTTTTCAGCAGTCACCATTGTGACACTGTGTGGATCTAGTTTTTCTGTCAGGCCATTGGCTGATCTGGGTTCAACTTGCAGTAAAGAAGGGGATAATTCCTTCCTGCTTCTTCTGCTACAGATTGACACAGTGAGATTAAGCACCAAAAGAAGACCCCTCTCCACTTCCCTACTGGGGACCTATCTCCCCAAGCAATCACCTTGTCTGCTTATTTTACTAAATTGTATTATTCTTTTTTTTGCTGACACACACATGTACATTCTCGCATGCACACAAACACACTCACATGCCAACACACATCCATCTGTACACACAGAAAACAAACACATACTGCTGTCACACACACAGCAACACTCCTTACACGCACACACAGAAAACAAACACAAACACATAGATTACCAAACTAGCTCAGCTCCCACTCTGAGAAGTTTGTAAACAGATTCAAGGACGTGTTATTTTCTTTTCTCCTTTTTATGATCGACTGAGGACCAATTTGAATGGTAGTGATGCAGTGCTTCAATTTATGGTTAAAGGATTTATGGAAGGAAGCTTTAAACCTGATGACATGTGCAGGCAGGGCCCCTCCTGGGCATCGAAAGTGAGCACATGGTTGATGTGACCCAAGCTGCAGTCTTAGAGCCAGTGGTGATTAACAACATAAAACCCTCCCTCCTCACCACCCAGTCCTAACCCTGGCCCAGTCTCCAGCCCTGCATGACGTCAGCAACCCAGGGATAGGGACACAGCCCTCGGCATCATCATCATCATTCACATTATCGTCATCAACACCTGTTCATTATAATCTTATCTGATTACTTTACCATGGGGTTGTCCCTCCATTTTAAATGTTGAGGCATGTAGCCGAAGTGGGGCACACGGAGAGTCTAAAGGAGTGTTTATGTGGGGGTTAAGAGGGGTAGTTCTAGTCCCTGATGTCCATGGTAGGATGGGGTCTCTGGGGTGTTCTGGGGGGGAAGGGTTGGTGTTGGAGAAGGGGTGTGGGATCTGATCCATTCTTCTCCTGGGGTTCTAGGGGGGCTTCACAGCTCTGTGTCTGCCGTCTTGGTGGTGGAGTGGCCGTTGGTGGGAGGGGGCTGGGTCTTGGCGGCCTCTTGGGAGTCCCCGTTAGCAGGCTTCTCCAGGGTCTCAGGGGGGTTGAGAGGGGCAACAGACACCAGGGTGTTCCCCTGGTTCTCCTCATCGACTGGGTACGCCTCCTCAGCCTGCACACACACACACACACACACACCATACACACACGGTCAACATCAACAGGCTGCTCGACAATTATAAACAAACATTATGGATGTCTTTCCTCCACTAGCAGCACTCTCTGGGTTTCTCTCTGAGGCACATACCCGGTGGAGGGTCTTTATCATGTGACATCACTACTGACTGTTTTTAGAGAAAAACAGCTGTGGCTTTTTGGCCAGGAGATGAAACAGTTGTATGCAAGCATGCACACACAAGCACACAGACACATACACCAAACACACACTACGGCACAGTTGGCCTATGCTCAAGGTTAACCAGTGGTGCTAAAATGTATGATAAAGTATACAACCAATGAATTACAAGCTAAAGTCATTCACAAATGAAAAGAAAACATGCTAATAGCTCTGGAGTAAGACACGTAGAGGGCTAGAGGTACAGCCAACCAAAACAATGGTCAGCCAGTGTAGTAAGAGATAGAAGGTGACTGACCAGCCTCATGCCCTTGGCGTTGTGTCCACGGTTGTTCTTTATACAGTAGCATCCGATGAGGGCAGCAGCCAGCAGCAGGCCAGTGATGAGCAGGGACACCAGCACAATGGGAGAGTGTGTTCCCAACTGAGGAGCTGCCTCCACCACACCCAGCTACACACACACACACAAACAAACAAAGACAGTGAGAGAGAAACAGACAGACAGATTGACAGAGATAGAGAGAGAACTTTGTTAATAGATGGAGTCATATCCCACTGGGCAAAAAGTGGTTGAATCAACGTTGTTTCCACGTCATTAACGGGCGGCAGGTAGCTTAGTGGGTAAGAGCGTTGTGCCAGTAACCGAAAGGTCGCTGGTTCTAATCCCCGAGCCGACTAGGTGAAAAATCTGTCGATGTGCCCTTGAGCAAGGCACTTAACCCTAATTGCTCCTGTAAGTCGCTCTGGATAAGAGCGTCTGCTAAATGACCAAAAATAAAAAATAAAAATAAATAAAATAAATAAAATAATTAAAACATTTTTTTCCCTATGTGATGACGTTGACTCAACGTGGAAAACTGATTGGATTTACAAAAAGTCAATGTAAGGGATTTTTTTTTCTTTACCCCACTTTAACCTAAATCTAATGTCATGGTGGATTTTGGGGGGGATTTCATGGTGAATTCACGCTAGTTGACTACTCAACCAAATGTAAATCAAAAATAGACATTGAACTGACGTCTGTGTCCATTGCAAAGTTTAACAAACCATACACCTATATCCAGAAGTCTAACAACTGCCACTGAACATTTGACTAAAACGCATTAAAATTGAGGAACACTGCAGGTGCAAATTTTGGAAACAGAATGGCTACCTGGACTATTTGCATTGTCCCCACCCCACCCCCTCTTTTATGCTGCTGCTACTCTGTTTATTATCTATGCATAGTCATTTTAACTCTACCTACATGTACATACTACCTCAATTACTTCGACTAACCTGTGCCCCCACACACTGACTCTGTACCGGTACCACCTGTATATATATATATATATATATATATATATATATATATATATATATATATATAAAAATTAAACATTTACAAAGATATATAAAAAAAAGTGGTTGTCCCACTGGCTATCATAAGGTGAATGCACCAATTTGTAAGTCGCTCTGGATAAGAGCGTCTGCTAAATGACGTAAATGTAAATATAGCCTCGCTACAGTTATTTTACTGCTGCTCTTTAATTTTAATTTTTTTGTTATCTATTTTTTACTTAACACTTTTTTTTCTTAAAACTGCATTGTTGGTTAAGGGCTTGTAAGTAAGCATTTCACTGTAAGGACTACACCTGTTGTATTCGGCGCATGTGATAAATACAATTTGATTTGATTTGAATGACAGTAAAATCTCCCTCAGTTTATGTGACCAAAAATGTCCCAAAACTGTTAAATATCTACTCCGAATTAAGATTCAAAGATGTCTGCAGAAAGAATGGGGTGTCAGCTATGATATGACACCTTAAGTTTGCAAATATTTAACTACAGTATAGCACAGTAGAGTACAGTAAAGAAAAGTAGAGCAGAGTACAATACAGTCCAGTAGAGTAGGGTAGAGTAATTACATTATACTGAACTGATTCTCTACACTATATTTGCTTGAAATTGGGTTAACTATTAGAGCGATTTCTGCATAGTGCATCTTTTAAGAGTGACTGATGACGTCACAGCTAGCACGAGCTCGCAGTGTTAATTAGCCTAACTACCAAGTTCAGCTACAGAGGGGAGAACAAGTATTTGATACACTGCCGATCTTGCAGGTTTTCCTACTTACAAAGCATGTAGAGGTCTGTAATTTTTATCATAGGTACACTTCAACTGTGAGAGACGGAATCTAAAACAAAAATCCAGAAAATCACATTGTATGATTTTTAAGTAATTAATTTGCATTTTATTGCATGACATAAGTATTTGATACATCAGAAAAGCAGAACATAATATTTGGTACAGAAACCTTTGTTTGCAATTACAGAGATCATACGTTTCCTGTAGGTCTTGACCAGGTTTGCACACACTGCAGTAGGGATTTTGGCCCACTCCTCCATACAGACCTTCCCCAGATCCTTCAGGTTTCGGGGCTGTCGCTGGGCAATACGGACTTTCAGCTCCCTCCAAAGATTTTCTATTGGGTTCAGGTCTGGAGACTGGCTAGGCCACTCCAGAAACTTGAGATGCTTCTTACGGAGCCACTCCTTAGTTGCCCTGGCTGTGTGTTTCGGGTCGTTGTCATGCTGGAAGACCCAGCCACATTTCATCTTCAATGCCCTTGCTGATGGAAGGAGGTTTTCACTCAAAATCTCACGATACATGGCCCCATTCATTCTTTCCTTTACACGGATCAGTCGTCCTGGTCCCTTTGCAGAAAAACAGCCCCAAAGCATGATGTTTCCACCCCCATGCTTCACAGTAGGTATGGTGTTCTTTGGATGCAACTCAGCATTCTTTGTCCTCCAAACACGACGAGTTGAGTTTTTACCAAAAAGTTCTATTTTGGTTTCATCTGACCATATGACATTCTCCCAATCCTCTTCTGGATCATCCAAATGCACTCTAGCAAACTTCAGACGGGCCTGGACATGTACTGGCTTAAGCAGGGGGACACGTCTGGCACTGCAGGATTTGAGTCCCTGGCGGCGTAGTGTGTTACTGATGGTAGGCTTTGTTACTTTGGTCCCAGCTCTCTGCAGGTCATTCACTAGGTCCTCCCGTGTGGTTCTGGGATTTTTGCTCACCGTTCTTGTGATCATTTTGACCCCACGGGGTGAGATCTTGCGTGGAGCCCCAGATCGAGGGAGATTATCAGTGGTCTTGTATGTCTTCCATTTCCTAATAATTGCTCCCACAGTTGATTTCTTCAAACCAAGCTGCTTACCTATTGCAGATTCAGTCTTCCCAGCCTGGTGCAGGTCTACAATTATGTTTCTGGTGTCCTTTGACAGCTCTTTGGTCTTGGCCATAGTGGAGTTTGGAGTGTGACTGTTTGAGGTTGTGGACAGGTGTCTTTTATACTGATAACAAGTTCAAACAGGTGCCATTAATACAGGTAACGAGTGGAGGACAGAGGAGCCTCTTAAAGAAGAAGTTACAGGTCTGTGAGAGCCAGAAATCTTGCTTGTTTGTAGGTGACCAAATACTTATTTTCCACCATAATTTGCAAATAAATTCATTAAAAATCCTACAATGTGATTTTCTGGATTTTCTTTTCTCAATTTGTCTGTCATAGTTGACGTGTACCTATGATGAAAATTACAGGCCTCTCTCATCTTTTTAAGTGGGAGAACCTGCACAATTGGTGGCTGACTAAATACTTTTTTTCCCCACTGTAGATAACGGGGAAATCAAGTTGTATGCACTGTTGAAACTAGCACAACTCAAAAACCACATGGAAATATTGTTTGCATTACTCGTTAAAGGAAAACCGGCTGAAGACAACCAGCTATATTTTGGAGTGATGCATTTTGATTTGGGGGTTGCCAAAACGAAAAGAGAAATGCAACACTTTGTCAATTTGTTAATCACTCATATTGATATCACGTTGAAATCTATAGAGTGGGGCAAAAACTTTTGGCTTGTATGCGCTGTTTAAACTAACACTATTCAAAAGGCCACAGTGAATCTGGATTGAATCTGAGAATAATTTGTATATCACTGGTTAGAAGAGAATTTGCAGTCATCTAAATTCTAGAATGTTGGATGGAAGGTTTTTTAGGCTGCCGAAACGGGGTAGGAAACAAATCAGTTGCTTTGTTATTTAACTTCAACGAATCACGACCTGCCATAGGATATCAACAGTGACAAGAGTTGGCTGTTATTTGAGTGATAATTTGACTCTCAAATCCATGTATTGGTGTGAGGCTTTTATACAGAGAGCGCCCTAAATGTTCCCTGCCATTTCAGTTTGAAAAAAATAGTAGAATTCTAAGTCCTAAAACCGCCAGCACATATGACAAAATCAACGGTACAAAACAAATGATATTGATCTGTTTTAAACAATCAATTTTCTGTCATTGTGATTACTATAAACGTTTATACTAATATCACTAATCTGATGTAAAAAGGATGTGTAATTACCCTCAATTCGATGTGGTTAAAACATGAGGTTGTCCACGTACAGGAAATTAGCGCAAATAATCTTAAATAATCTAATACGTAGCTTTATTGGACAAACTCACAGCTAAATATGGCACAGAAACCTGAACATTTATGGTAAACTGCAATCAAGATTAAAGACCAGTAAACTAAGGAACAGTCTCTCTCCCATGTCTCTCCAGAGCACAATCTCCATCTCTGCCAACTCACACCAGTGATATTTCCCTGAGGATCTCAACCTCTTCAACACACCACCACAATATGGGAGTGATTCAATCCTATCATATTTTGGAACCAGTCCTATTGGACTCCTATGGGATTCTATCGTATAGGATTTTATCTAATAGGATCCTATAAAATTCCAATACAAGAATCCTATAGGATAAAATCCTACAGGATAGGTTCTGAAATCTGATAAGATTTTCTATTGGATTCTTATAGGATTTTTGTATTGTAATCCTATAGGAGTGATTCAAGGCTGCAAGTTCATTTGCAGTCTGACCAATAGAACAATCATATCATATTTTGGAACCAGTCCTATTGGACTCCTATGGGATTCTATTGTGTAGGATTTTATCTAACAGGATCCTATAGGATTCCAATACAAGAATCCAATAGAAAAATCCTATCAGATTTTGGAACCAGTCCTATTGGACTCCTATAGGATTTTAACCTATAGGATAAAATCCCATAGGATAGCTTCCAAAATCTGATATGGGATTCCAATTTTAAAAATCCAATAGAAAATCCTATCAGATTTCGGAACATATCCTATAGGATAGAATCCTGTAGGATAGAATCCTATAGGAGTCCAATAGGACTGGTTTGAAAATCTGATAGGGATTTTCTATTGGATCTTTAAAATTAGAATCCTATAGGATTTCTTTACTAGGGGTTAAGCCATGCCACACCGTGTGTATCTATGGAGGGGACTCTGGGAAGCTAGGGGAGATTCCTCCATAGAATTAGGAATTAGAATACTAGAATGGACATGAACGTTCATATGATGGTCCAAAGGTCAGCCATGTTGGTCAGGGAGTTGGTCAACCATGGTTTGCCAGTGCTGTGATAAGATATTATGTACAACAATGAATGTGAAGAATTTATCTGCGTGTTATCTAGCTAGCCAGACAGTTTTAGAGGAATGATTCATTTTTTACATTTTAGTAATTTAGCAGACGCTCTTATCCAGAGCGACTTACAGTTAGTGAATGCATACATGTATTTAAAAAAAAAAAAAAAAAAAAAAAAAAATCATACTGGCCCCCCGTGGGAAACAAACCCACATCCCTGCCGGCCAAACCCTCCCCTACCTTGGACGACGCTGGACCAATTGTGCGCCGCCCATGGGTCTCCCGTTCGCGGCTGGCTGCGACAGAGCCTGGACTCTAACCAGGATCTCTAGTGGCACAGCTAGCACTGCGATGCAGTGCCTTAGACCACTGCGCCACTCGGGAGAATCCATACATTTTTCAAATTAATTTACAATATGAAAACATTCCATTCAAACAATGCAGTCAATCCACAGCCATATACTGCCTCAAATCAGTTGATGATAGGACATAGACAAGTTGTAAATGCAACAAGTACTGATATTGTATCATATAATAGCACTCACAGCTTTCCAAGAAAACAAAATCTGAGACATTTCTGGTCTGTTTACATACATTTTAGAGGCTATTTATACATAAAATGTGTATAAAACCTGTATAAACTGTATTTATAATTACATGACAATATTTTAAGTTGACTATAATTCCATTACATTTCTGATGCATCACATGCCTTACTTTTATTTTCCTGCATACGTAAAAGCAGGAAATGCATCACCTATGCCTCTACTGCCATTCATTCCAATTAGACTGGTTTTGGTTTTCTCCCTGACCAAGATGGCTTCCATTTTGGCCCCATATGGAACTTTGAGGGTTTATGACATAGCCTCTCTAGTAATATAATAGGATCTCTATGGATTCCTCACCCTGGTGCCTGGGGACTGTTCACGTCATGGTTAGTTCACTCCCAGGCTTTACGCCAAGACACTTTGTTATATTAAACCAGATTGCGATTTGTAAGTGGGGCCCTGCATAGCATTCCACTGCCTGGTTGGTTCCCTACACTGTCCATGTCTCTCTCTTATAAAACTATCATGGTACCTGTGTCACAGTCCATTTAGAGTTGTGTACATAAAAGATAGCATGTGAATCAATACAGTTTCCCTTCCATCTATTGCTATGGGGATGATGACTATACAGTAGCTACAGTTGTTAAAAGTGACTAAGTATGAGTTTGGAGAAGTGGACATACCTGACCCTTGATACTTTCACTGATCAGGCTCTCTGACAATTCTTTGACACCACCTGTAAGGAGAGACCAATGGAAGTTAGGAAAATACCTTCTTGGTAATTCAGTCAAATATTCAGATTGTCTAGATAAGAAAACTATAGCGTTCAAAGAAACTCATTACTGTAACGTATTGTTATGATGATCACTATTATGAGGCATTACAGGGAAACCTACCATAAGCGCGTGTCAAAACCAATGTGTTAGAGTTCTCTTCCTGGAACACTTGAAGGTTGCAGTCCCCTGTGCACCAGGCTAAATCCTCTAAGATTCTCTTGGTCTCCGACTATGGGAAAAACATGTCAGTTTAATGATCATATATCGTTATGCTCAACTCTCAACTATAAACACAATGATTTATGTGTTAAAACCACAGCACTCTGATGATGACACAGATTTCTAATCAGTTTATTCTCACAGAAAGCCAGAGGTCCCCAGAGTATTTTGGCACGCCCTGTTACAGTGACCCAATGGGACTAGGCTGCACCGACTATTGCGGTTCTCCTAGGCAGGGAGGATGGGGCGGCAGGTAGCTTAGTGGGTAAGAGCGTTGTGCCAGTAACCGAAAGGTCGCTGGTTCTAATCCCCGAGCCGACTAGGTGAAAAATCTGTCGATGTGCCCTTAAGCAAGGCACTTAACCCTAATTGCTCCTGTAAATTGCTCTGGATAAGAGCGTCTGCTAAAATGTAAATGTAAATGTCTATCCTCATCTTAACGTCACCACACCAAACACACAATGACGGTCAGGGTTTGAGCCATCTACAAACACACACTCTGCTCTCTTTCTCAGCGTTCTCGCCCTCCCTCTGTAGTGTTAATGCCTCTCAGATGCTTCACAGTAGACTTGCAGAGTGTTAAATATTATGTGGGTGTGCGTGTGAATCTGTCCAGCGGAGTGTGTGAGTCTGTGCGTTCACCACGCCATATGCCTTTGTGTTTGCGTAATGGAAGAGGGATAGCATCGGATGCAAAACAGCTCGGCGACCACACCCCCCCTCTCTCTCCCGCCTTCGTCTTGAACCATGATATCATCACATTGCACAAGGGCCTTGGGATGGGAGCTGTCCCTCCCCACTCTGTGTAATGCGATCCAAGGGCCTTGGGATGGGAGCTGTCCCTCCCCACTCTGTGTAATGCGATCCAAGGGCCTTGGGATGGGAGCTGTCCCTCCCCACTCTGTGTAATGCGATCCAAGGGCCTTGGGATGGGAGCTGTCCCTCCCCACTCTGTGTAATGCGATCCAAGGGCCTTGGGATGGGAGCTGTCCCTCCCCACTCTGTGTAATGCGATCCAAGGGCCTTGGGATGGGAGCTGTCCCTCCCCACTCTGTGTAATGCGATCCAGACAGCGCTTCTCTTCTCCATAGGCCGCTATGTGCAAACACAGCATCCTCAGTCAGGAGGCCCACAGCTACAGCCTGGTCTTCCATAACACTGAGCTATCCTATGGTTAGGAAGGAAGGAACCTTGCACAGCCCACATCAGCTCCCCACTCCCTACTACTCATTTTACATTTACATTTTAGTCATTTAGCAGACACTCTTATCCAGAGCGACTTACAGTTAGTGAGTGCATACATTAAAGCCCCCCCCTCTCTCGCTCTCCCCCTCTCTCCCTGCTCCACCAGTGACTCATTAAAGCTACGCTCAGGATCTCTAACGTTCGTCACAGTGGGCCTCTCTCAGGGATGACCTCAGCCTCACTCTTGGCAACAACAACACAATGTCTGCATCTCTGTTTATTTTCATTGAGATAAAGATGGCTGTTTGTGATTGACATCTAAGGCCTTGAGTGAGACTAGTGTGTGTGTTCTTTATAGTAATTGTGTTATTATTAGCTGCTGCCATTTATAGTGTTGACTGAAAACTCAGAAAAAGGGACAGCGTTTCTCATGGGAATTCACAGGGGATGTTTTTTAGAGAACAAATTCTGAGACTTTTCTCATTGAGAGATTTTCCACTACTTTGGAGTGGATCTCGGTTGATGGGAACGGCTCCATGGATAGAATCGGATAGATAGACATTACTCTTGACTTATCAAGGCTTTCCCAGCAGCTCACTCACTCTGAGAACGTTTGTCTTTTTCCACTTGTTTCAGACCTGGTCCCCGGGCCAATTTCTCTGGTCGGTCCTCTCCATGGTCAGTGTCAGGTTCGCATGGATCATTTAAACATATGATCCCTCACTTAACTTCATATCATACCCTCAGTCATAAATGTTGAGGGTACTGTACAGTACCACGGGATATATGATTGACTCAGCACAGACAGCTCTGCAGTTGCTTTAGAGAATGCACTGTGATACTGTATATCCAACTACACTACAGGACAAGAGTGCTTCTTGTGTGGCTCCACAGAAGACGGATAATACCGCTCAGCCGAACATGTTCCTTGAATCATGCTTGGATTAGCAGGCTAGAACCACACGTCAATCCCTTATTGTTCTGACAAGGTGTTTTTTTTTGTTCATGGGTACATGTCTTTATGGAATTATCCTGACATCAGTCAACACTACTATGGTGTTTCATTCCATCTCACACCGAGGGTTCCACTACACCAGCGACCCGCTCTACACCCCCTGCTATTCTTCCATTGACCTCTGAACCCTAGAGCACACAGAGATGCCCAGGGAGCAAAAAACATTGTCCTTTTCTTCGTTTGTCTTCTGTGACGACAGACGGACAGATGATTTAGAAGGACAAAAATAATGTCTGAGAGCAGATCTGCCTTTATCAGGCCCCATATTTCCAACAAGCTATTTGGAACATATTCATCTTAAACATATTAAGTGGAATGAGACAGAGACTTCCTCCCAGGCCAAGGTGCTGGGAGCCAGATAAGGGCCAGGGTATATGAAACGTGGCACCAGGGCTGAAGGGTAAGAGGCCCATGGTTCTTTCCTCATGTCTGTATCTGTCCATCTGTCTCCCAGGCAGCTGGCTGGTACAGGCTGATATCTCTGTAAGGGCTGTGGTTGGAAACAGAATGTAGTCCAATACACACTGTGGTAGAGGCTGGGGGAGGGCAACTGTACCAGAGATACCCTTGCATGCGGCTTAGACTGTATTGTTCTGTTTTATGACAGACAAGAGCTAGCTGGGGTGGTAGAGCACAGAGGCTAATATGGCATGGGAAAAGTCCATATGGAGACATTTCATAATAACAGTAAAACATGTTGATACTCACACAGGTGGTTTCTGACAAAAGCTCCACCTTGACTGCATCCTTGTCCTTCACTGCCTCCTTGTCCACACACTCAACAGTGGGCTGCAGAAACACAGAGATGGTATAAAGCTTTCACTCAAGTGTTGACATCATCAGATTATGTAAACTCATCTTTACATTCACTCACAATCTGCTACATTCCCTCTGCATTGAGTTATGATACAGGGAATTCGAAGTTAATTTGCTGTCCTAGAGTTGTGTCAAGTTGGCTGGATGTCCTTTGGGTGGTGGCCCATTCCTGACACACACGGGAAACTGTTGCGTGTAAAAAAAACAGCAGTGTTGCAGTTCTTGACACACTCAAACCGGAGCGCCTAGAACCTACTACCATACCCCATTCAAAGGCACTTAAATCTTTCGTCTTGCCCATTCACTCTCAATGGCACACATGCACAATCCATATCTCAAGGCTTAAAAATCCTTCTTTAACCTGTCTCCTCCGCTTCCTCTGCACTGATTGAATTGGATTTGACTAGTGACATCAATAAGGGATAATAGCTTTCACCTAGATAGTCCATGTCATGAAAAGAGCAGGTGTTCCTAATGTTTTGTACACTCAGTGTATACACTAGATGATTGACAGGGTGCACTGTTTTGAAGCCACCGCATTTCCATCTTGGCACTCATCCAGCATTGTAAAAAAAATATTTTGGAAGCTATAGAAATGCATTTATTAATGTCTACATTTGTTTTTACAACATGTATTCTATTACAGACACCTTAATGAATATTTTTAAATTATATAATGTGAGATAAACATAAACAATTTAAATATATAACATTTTCCTCAAAGTAAAATTTTTGGAAAGTTCTAATGTTACTGTCCCCACTACAACAACAAAATACTTAAATACGTCATTTTGTCCTTGAAACATTTAATTGAAATACTGTAGAATTGAATTCCTTCCTATGGAGGACTGCGTCTTCTGAGAGGAGTGCCAATATGGCTGACCAGTGGCTTCAAAGCCTCTCATTGGCCAATACATAGCATCAGCAATTCACGGTTTATATACATCATTTAACCTTCTTTTAGCATTTCAGTATGATACAGCATCTAAATATATTGTAGGTATTCCCCATTAGTTAGGTATTACTCACATTCACAAGATCAACATGGGCCTCTGTCTCGGGTACAACCGGTGCAACAGGGGCATCAGTTGCTTCAGTGCCCTGTGTGTCTACACCAGGTCCAGCCGTGGTTCCAGAGGTTTCACCTCCTGTTAAGGGGTCAGTCTTTGGCACCATGGAGGTGAAGGCAGTGTCCTGGTCTGATCCAGGAGCACTGCTCCCAGTAGTGGCATTGACTGTGTAGTCGGCAACGGTAGTGGCTGTGTCGTCTACAGGTGCTTGGGGGGTTGCGGTAGTATACATAACTTTAATAAAAATAAAAACAATTAAACATATTTTATACACAACTGAAGCCGCTCTGAGTAGGCTACCCAGACCCCTTCACCGACCCCCTGAATCCTCCCAATCCCACCCACAACCCTTCCTAACCCAGTTACCAGATGTACAGTGGGGAAAAAAGTATTTAGTCAGCCACCAATTGTGCAAGTTCTCCCACTTACAAAGATGAGAGAGGCCTGTAATTTTCATCGTAGGTACACGTCAACTATGACAGACAAATTGAGAAATAAAATCCAGAAAATCACATTGTAGGATTTTTAATGAATTTATTTGCAAATTATGGTGGAAAATAAGTATTTGGTCACCTACAAACAAGCAAGATTTCTGGCTCTCACAGACCTGTAACTTCTTCTTTAAGAGGCTCCTCTGTCCTCCACTCGTTACCTGTATTAATGGCACCTGTTTGAACTTGTTATCAGTATAAAAGACACCTGTCCACAACCTCAAACAGTCACACTCCAAACTCCACTATGGCCAAGACCAAAGAGCTGTCAAAGGACACCAGAAACAAAATTGTAGACCTGCACCAGGCTGGGAAGACTGAATCTGCAATAGGTAAGCAGCTTGGTTAGAAGAAATCAACTGTGGGAGCAATTATTAGGAAATGGAAGACATACAAGACCACTGATAATCTCCCTCGATCTTGGGCTCCACGCAAGATCTCACCCCGTGGGGTCAAAATGATCACAAGAACGGTGAGCAAAAATCCCAGAACCACACGGGGGGACCTAGTGAATGACCTGCAGAGAGCTGGGACCAAAGTAACAAAGCCTACCATCAGTAACACACTACGCCGCCAGGGACTCAAATCCTGCAGGGCCAGACGTGTCCCCCTGCTTAAGCCAGTACATGTCCAGGCCCGTCTGAAGTTTGCTAGAGTGCATTTCGATGATCCAGAAGAGGATTGGGAGAATGTCATATGGTCAGATGAAACCAAAATATAACTTTTTGGTAGAAACTCAACTCGTCTTACAGAAAACGTTTGACCTGTGTCATTGCCAACAAAGGGTATATAACAAAGTATTGAGAAAATTTTATTATTGACCAAATACTTATTTTCCACCATAATTTGCAAATAAATTCATTAAAAATCCTACAATGTGATTTTCTGGATTTTTTTTCCTCATTTTGTCTGTCATAGTTGACGTGTACCTATGATGAAAAGTACAGGCCTCTCTCATCTTTTTAAGTGTGAGAACTTGCACAATTGGTGGCTGACTAAATACTTTTTCCCCCCACTGTAAGTCAATAGACGTGAAGGAGAAAACAAACAAGACAAACATGCAACAAGTACTGGTAGAGACGAACAGGCAGACAGGACAACATAATAATAACAGACTGGACAGGCAGACAGGACAACATAATAATAACAGACTGGACAGGCAGACAGAACAACATAATAACAACAGACTGGACAGGCAGACAGGACAACATAATAACAACAGACTGGACAGGCAGACAGGACAACATAATAATAACAGACTGGACAGGCAGACAGGACAACATAATAACAACAGACTGGACAGGCAGACAGGACAACATAATAACAACAGACTGGACAGTCAGACAGGACAACATAATAACAACAGACTGGACAGGCAGACAGGACAACATAATAATAACAGACTGGACAGGCAGACAGGACAACATAATAATAACAGACTGGAAAGGCAGACAGGACAACATAATAACAACAGACTGGACAGGCAGACAGGACAACATAATAACAACAGACTGGACAGGCAGACAGGACAACATAATAATAACAGACTGGACAGGCAGACAGGACAACATAATAATAACAGACTGGACAGGCAGACAGGACAACATAATAACAGCAGACTGGACAGTCAGACAGGACCACATAATAACAACAGACTGGAAAGGCAGACAGGACAACATAATAATAACAGACTGGACAGGCAGACAGGACAACATAATAACAACAGACTGGACAGGCAGACAGGACAACATAATAACAACAGACTGGACAGGCAGACAGGACAACATAATAACAACAGACTGGACAGGCAGACAGGACAACATAATAATAACAGACTGGACAGGCAGACAGGACAACATAATAACAACAGACTGGACAGGCAGACAGGACAACATAATAACAACAGACTGGACAGTCAGACAGGACAACATAATAACAACAGACTGGACAGGCAGACAGGACAACATAATAATAACAGACTGGACAGGCAGACAGGACAACATAATAATAACAGACTGGAAAGGCAGACAGGACAACATAATAACAACAGACTGGACAGGCAGACAGGACAACATAATAACAACAGACTGGACAGGCAGACAGGACAACATAATAATAACAGACTGGACAGGCAGACAGGACAACATAAAAATAACAGACTGGACAGGCAGACAGGACAACATAATAACAGCAGACTGGACAGTCAGACAGGACCACATAATAACAACAGACTGGACAGGCAGACAGGACAACATAATAATAACAGACTGGACAGGCAGACAGGACAACATAATAATAACAGACTGGACAGGCAGACAGGACAACATAATAATAACAGACTGGACAGGCAGACAGGACAACATAATAACAACAGACTGGACAGGCAGACAGGACAACATAATAACAACAGACTGGACAGGCAGACAGGACAACATAATAATAACAGACTGGACAGGCAGACAGGACAACATAATAACAACAGACTGGACAGGCAGACAGGACAACATAATAACAACAGACTGGACAGTCAGACAGGACAACATAATAACAACAGACTGGACAGGCAGACAGGACAACATAATAATAACAGACTGGACAGGCAGACAGGACAACATAATAATAACAGACTGGAAAGGCAGACAGGACAACATAATAACAACAGACTGGACAGGCAGACAGGACAACATAATAACAACAGACTGGACAGGCAGACAGGACAACATAATAATAACAGACTGGACAGGCAGACAGGACAACATAATAATAACAGACTGGACAGGCAGACAGGACAACATAATAACAGCAGACTGGACAGTCAGACAGGACCACATAATAACAACAGACTGGACAGGCAGACAGGACAACATAATAATAACAGACTGGACAGGCAGACAGGACAACATAATAATAACAGACTGGACAGGCAGACAGGACAACATAATAATAACAGACTGGACAGGCAGACAGGACAACATAATAACAACAGACTGGACAGGCAGACAGGACAACATAATAACAACAGACTGGACAGGCAGACAGGACAACATAATAATAACAGACTGGACAGGCAGACAGGACAACATAATAACAGACTGAACAGTTGTGAAAGGAAAGTGACCATACGTATGGTAAAGTGTATTGAAGTTCATTTGGGAGGAAGATTGTTGTTGGGGGTGGGTCGTGTTAGGTTTTATCAACAATTTGAGAGAAAGGGAAGAAAAATGAAAAGGACTATCAGGGTGTCGTCTGCGAGGGCTGGGACTCCTATCAAATCAAATCAAATTGTATTTGTCACATGCGCCGAAAACAACAGGTGTAGACCTTACAGTGAAATGCTTACTGACAAGCCCTTAACCAACAATGCAGTTTTAAGAAAAAAAAAGAAAAATAGATAAGTAAAAAATACTAACCTGTGACCCGCACATAGACTCTGTACCAGTACCCCTTTATATAGCCTCCCTACTGTTATTTCACATTGACTCTGTACCAGTACCCCTTTATATAGCCTCACTATTGTTATTTCACATTGACTCTGTACCAGTACCCCTTTATATAGCCTCGCTACTGTTATTTCACATTGACTCTGTATCAGTACCCCTTTATATAGCTCCTGAGTGGCGCAGTGGTCTAAGGCACTGCACCGCAGTGCTAACTGTGCCACTAGAGATCCTGGTTCGAATCCAGGCTCTGTCGCAGCCGGCCGCGACCGGGAGACTCATGGGCGGCGCACAATTGGCCCAGCGTCGTCCAGGGTAGGGGAGGGAATGGCCGGCAGGGATGTAGCTCAGTTGATAGAGCATGGCGTTTGCAACGCCAGGGTTGTGGGTTCGATTCCCACGGGGGGCCAGTATAAAAATATATGTATTCACTAACTGTAAGTCGCTCTGGATAAGAGCGTCTGCTAAATGACTAAAATGTAATGTAAATGTAAATATAGCCTCACTACTGTTATTTCACATTGACTCTGTACCAGTACCCCTTTATATAGCCTCACTACTGTTATTTCACATTGACTCTGTACCAGTACCCCTTTATATAGCCTCACTACTGTTATTTCACATTGACTCTGTACCAGTACCCCTTTATATAGCCTCACTACTGTTATTTCACATTGACTCTGTACCAGTACCCCTTTATATAGCCTCACTACTGTTATTTCACATTGACTCTGTACCAGTACCCCTTTATATAGCCTCCCTACTGTTATTTCACATTGACTCTGTACCAGTACCCCTTTATATAGCCTCACTACTGTTATTTCACATTGACTCTGTACCAGTACCCCTTTATATAGCCTCCCTACTGTTATTTCACATTGACGCTGTACCAGTACCCCTTTATATAGCCTCACTACTGTTATTTCACATTGACTCTGTACCAGTACCCCTTTATATAGCCTCCCTACTGTTATTTCACATTGACTCTGTACCAGTACCCCTTTATATAGCCTCGCTACTGTTATTTCACATTGACGCTGTACCAGTACCCCTTTATATAGCCTCACTACTGTTATTTCACATTGACTCTGCACCAGTACCCCTTTATATAGCCTCGCTACTGTTATTTCACATTGACTCTGTACCAGTACCCCTTTATATAGCCTCACTACTGTTATTTCACATTGACTCTGTACCAGTACCCCCTTTATATAGCCTCGCTACTGTTATTGTACTGCTGCTCTTTAATTATTTTTTATTGTTTTATTTTTACTTATCTCTTTTTTACTTAACACTTATTTTTCTTAAAACTGCATTGTTGGTTAAGGGCTTGTAAGTAAGCATTTCACTGTAAGGTCTACACCTGTTGTATTCGGCGCATGTGACAAATACAATTTGATTTGATTTGTTTTAAATGTTATGAATGGGTGTGATGTAATTCACTTATAGATGAGTGACCGATGGCTAATGAAAAGGTATTACTGTCATACTGTACCTTACATTCAGTTGCCATGTAATTTTAATTGTGTAATTAGAGCCAATCTCAAAACATGATGACCTGTTGTCATCTCCTGATCCTCCATATCATAACTACTGACTTCAGCTTTGATCTGGACTTTTGGACAGGGATGTTATTAATGTCTTACCTGTGACTACAGAGCTGTAGGTTGCGTCTGTGAGTACTGTTGTATCAGCTACTCCAGTGCTGGGAACATCTGTGGTGCCCGTTTCAGGTACAGCAGAGGCATCAGTGGGGTAATCTCCTTGAACTCCATCTGAGAGAGAGAAACAAACATGAATCAATACAGTAGACCTGATACTGCCCCACTGTTCAGAGCTTAGTGCAACCTTACCTTGCGACCTTAGTGCAACCTTACCTTGCAATCTTAGTGCAAGGCCTTTCTATCCTGTAATGATTGCAAAGCATGTCAAACAATCAATGAAATGGAAAAGCAAAGACTGGTTTTGCTTCACATGGGCTAGTGCCAGAATTATACTAACCCTTCCACTGAAGGGAGCGCTCAAAGTTGATTTAGTGTTCCTCTCCTTTCATACGGTAGCTCTGCACTGTGGTAACTTACTGTTGGAGCCCGGCTGTAGGTCTAGGTCTCAGTGTCAACACCTAGTGCTAACAGAGCCACACGCTCCAGATCCAGAAGGCTAATCTGTGGGATGAGTTTTGGCACATGGATGGTGTGTTTGTGTGACTGTGGTCCGGGGGTGGAGGGCAGGTTAACACTGCCTGGCCCCTATGACCGACACCCTGTGCCACAGCCCCCCCGACGCCCCCTGACGATGAACCAATTCGGCCTGTTTGCTCAGTCACCCTAGGTAATTAATGGCCGAAGTGTGTGGTACTGCCCTCTCCACAGCCTGCACAAATAAACCCTGCTCTCCAAGGTCACAACCCCTGACTCTACACCAATCCTCAGGGAAAGATCACATTTCTAAAGTAAGATCGGGTAGCCTTGCAGGCAGTGCAAGGGAAGAATAGATGTTGATAAAGTCAAGGGAAACTGTAAGAAAATGTTTATCCATGTGAGGTCAATGGGGGTCAATGGTTTATATTTTATTATGTTTTGATGTTGTTATTGGAGTCTACACTTTTTTCAAAGATAACTGGTTGGGCAGATGTGCTACAGTGTATGAGCTGACATTCTAGAGCCCAGTATTCCCAGAGTCCAAACTCATTATCACCAAGGCTCCAGAATGCAGGCTAACGCTCCATCTGATAGGACTGGCCCAGCTCCACGAGCGTTAATACCCCTCTTCTGGTTACACTGACACAAAGACAGACACGTGTTCCTTTACTCTAACACAGCTTCAACGACTCATTGTCTCACTACTGTGTTTATCTCAGGGTGTACAAGTTGTCAAAGCAGGTTTACTGAGATATGGTACATGAACATAACCACTGTTTTCTGGGCACTGGCTAAATGATGTAAACTTCTATGTCATGTAGTATTCAGATACTTATCTATGGCCACAACCCTAAAAGTTGCCAAAACTCTGTTTTGCAAAACACATTACATTTAAAAATCATCTTTGTATGGCTAACCGTCACTGACTTTACAGTGCAAGTTAACAGTTTAAACCATAGAAATATAATGAATAGAACGGGGTTGGAAGCTCTAACCCTGGCAATTTGACTGGTAAACTCATGGGTACACTCAGAATGGATGCTGGTATTGTGATAAAAAAATGTCCATGGTACTTTGGAATGTTCTATCAACTGATACTCTGAGTCGATATTCACGTAATAATAAGGAATGACCTTCGACCACGCCCAGAAATTGGGAAAAACATTCTTTCCCATTGACCCCCTAGTGTAAAAGAGCCAACATCGTCGTAGATTGTTTTGTTATACAGAAATAACAAAACATGCCGATAAGCTGCTGTGTTGTTCAGTGGACATGTAACCATGTAAAAAACCTGACCTGCGGTTCCTAATGCTCCCACATAGGGAAATAGAGCATGTGAGAAGAGCCCTGACAATTTAGATAGTTTGAACAGGGAGTACAGGAGGCTAAAAAGAGATTTTGGCTTGGAAAAGTTGAATATTTGCAGAAGGAGTCGGGTAATTGGTTAAGGGAGGAGGATTGGAGGGAAAGAGAGAGGAGGTTGAAAAGACTGAGGATAGGTTTGAATATGTTGAAGCTAGCAATAACAACGGAGAGGGTATGTCGAGGAAGATTGGGGTCAAGTTCAAACAGAGGGAGCTGGATGCCAGTTCGAGTTCTGGAGGTGAAATGGAAGGGGTAGAAGGTGTTGTGAGGAGCTCGGAGGCCGAGCCTTGCATTGATAAAGATACGTTTGGTCGAGTGGGAGTGACATTTTTTGAGAAAATGGATCCTTGACTTTTGGCGGATCTATTTGTGGTTTAAGTGTGGGTGGGAAAGGAGTTGGGTGCAGTTGAATCAGTGAAGGTAACCTGTAGTGTACTTGTGATATTTGTTTGTGTTATACCACGGCTAAGGGTTGTTCTTATGCACGACGCAATGCAGAGTGCCTGGATACAGCCCTTAGCTGTGGTATATTGGCCATATACCACAAACCCTCGAGGTGTCTTATTGCTATTATAAACTGGTTACAAACATAATTAGAACAGTAAAAATAAATGTTTTGTCATACCCGTAGTATACGGTCTCATATACCAGAGCTTTCAGCCAATCGGCATTCAGTGCTCGACCCACCCAGTTTATAATATCTAATACCGACTGGGACTATTGTTTTACCATGGTAATGTAGAATGTTCATTCAAATTATGCTAACTGATGTGGCTCATGCAATGAAAGGTATTTTTTTTTACGTCAGTTGAGTTGACTCAACAAATCACAGCACAGATTGAAGGTACACTGCTTTTACTTCCTGGCATGGGTACACTCAAAATGGCTGCCAGTCCACCCATTATGCCATCATTGACTTGAATGGAGACACCCTTTCTAATTATTCTATTTCTATGGTTTAACCTCTGAAGGATCTGCCCATTTTTTCAATTTTTGCCTAAAATGACATACCCAAATCTAACTGCCTGTAGCTCAGGACCTGAAGCAAGGATATGCATATTCTTTTTTATTTATTTTTATTTATTTCACCTTTATTTAACCAGGTAAACCAGTTGAGAACAAGTTCTCATTTACAACTGCGACCTGGCCAAGATAAAGCAAAGCAGTGCGATAAAAACAACAACACAGAGTTACATATGGGGTAAAACAAAACAAAGTCAAAAATACAACAGAAATACATATATATACAGTGTGTGCAAATGTAGCAAGTTATGGAGGTAAGGCAATAAATAGGCTGTAGTGCAAAATAATTACAATTAGTATTAACACTGGAATGATAGATGTGCAAGAGATGATGTGCAAATAGAGATACTGGGGTACAAATGAGCAAAATAAATAACAATATAGGGATGAGGTAGTTGGGCGGGCTAATTTCAGATGGGCTGTGTACAGGTGCAGTGATCGGTAAGGTGCTCTGACAACTGATGCTTAAAGTTAATGAGGGAGATAAGTGTCTCCAGCTTCAGAGATTTTTGCAATTTGTTCCAGTCATTGGCAGCAGAGAACTGGAAGGAATGGCGGCCAAAGGAGGTGTTGGCTTTGGGGATGACCAGTGAGATATACCTGCTGGAGCGCAGACTACGGGTGGGTGTTGCTATGGTGACCAATGAGCTAAGATAAGGCGGGGATTTGCCTAGCAGTGATTTATAGATGGCCTGGAGCCAGTGGGTTTGGCGACGAATATGTAGTGAGGACCAGCCAACAAGAGCGTACAGGTCACAGTGGTGGGTAGTATATGGGGCTTTGGAGACAAAACGGATGGCACTGTGATAGACTACATCCAATTTGCTGAGTAGAGTGTTGGAGGCTATTTTGTAAATGACATCGCCGAAGTCAAGGATCGGTAGGATAGTCAGTTTTACGAGGGCATGTTTGGCAGCATGAGTGAAGGAGGCTTTGTTGCGAAATAGGAAACCGATTCTAGATTTAACTTTGGATTGGAGATTCTTAATGTGAGTCTGGAAGGAGAGTTTACAGTCTAACCAGACACCTAGATATTTGTAGTTGTCCACATACTCTAGGTCAGACCCGTCGAGAGTAGTGATTCTAGTCGGGTGGGCGGGTGCAAGCAGCGTTCGGTTGAAGAGCATGCATTTAGTTTTACTAGTGTTTAAGAGCAGTTGGAGGCTACTGAAGGAGTGTTGTATGGAATTGAAGCTCGTTTGGAGTAGAGGTGGATCTGAGAGTCACCAGCAGCAAGAGCGACGTCATTGATATACACAGAGAAAAGAGTCGGCCCAAGAATTGAACCCTGTGGCACCCCCATAGAGACTGCCATAGGTCCAGACAACAGGCCCTCCGATTTGACACATTGAACTCTATCTGAGAAGTAGTTGGTGAACCAGGCGAGGCAGTCATTTGAGAAACCAAGGCTATTTAGTCTGCCAATAAGAATGCGGTGGTTGACAGAGTCGAAAGCCTTGGCCAGGTCAATGAAAACGGCTGCACAGTACTGTCTATTATCGATCGCGGTTATAATATCGTCTAGGACCTTGAGCGTGGCTGAAGTGCACCCATGACCAGCTCGGAAACCGGATTGCATAGCGGAGAAGGTACGGTGGGATTCGAAATGGTCGGTGATCTGTTTGTTGACTTGGCTTTCAAAAACTTTTGAAAGGCAGGGCAGGATGGATATGGGTCTGTAACAGTTTGGATCTAGAGTGTCACCCCCTTTGAAGAGGGGGATGACCGCGGCAGCTTTCCAATCTCTGGGGATCTCAGACGTTACGAAAGAGAGGTTGAACAGGCTAGTAATAGGGGTTGCGACAATTTCGGCGGCTAGTTTTAGAAAGAAAGGGTCCAGATTGTCTAGCCCAGATGATTTGTAGGGGTCCAGATTTTGCAGCTCTTTCAGAACATCAGCTGTCTGGATTTGTGTGAAGGAGAAGCGGGGGGGGGGGGGGGGGGGGGGGGGAGCATGGGCAAGTCATGGTATTCTTGATACCATTTGAAAGGGAACACTTTGAAGTTTGTGGAAATTTGAAATTAATGTAGGAGAATATAACACATTAGATCTGGTAAAAGATAATACAAACAAAAAAACATGTGTTTTTATCATCTTTGAAATGAAAGAAAAAGGCCACAATATAATATTGCAGTTTAGGCCCAATTTAGATTTTGGACACTAGATGGCAGCAGTGTGTGTGCAAAGTTTCAGATTGATCCAGTGTAACATTGCAATACTGGACTATTTTGTCTGCCCAAATGTGCCGAATTGGTCAATTGATACATAACTA